ATTCGCTCACTGACCCTGGGCATTTCGGCCCACCAGAAACTGGAGCTGCTGGCGGGTCTGGTGCGCCTGCTCGGGTACGAGGCGGTGGCCGTGTTTGGGGACTGCTTCGACGGTGAGTGCTGCAGGGAGGGGAGGGGGGAGGGGAGGGGAGGGGGGAGGGAAGGGGGGGGGAGGGAAAGGGGGAGGGGAGGGAAAGGGGGAGGGAAAGGGGGAGGGGAGGGAAAGGGGGAGGGAGTGAAGGAAGGAGCACTTCTAGTAGGGGAGGTAATGCACGGCTATGATCGTACGGCCTTCTATGGTTTTCTTCTTATTTTGACACCGTTGCCAGTTCGTAAACGATTCGCCTCGTGGCGTCTACAGCGCATCTATGCGCTCCTCCCCTCCCCCCTCCCACCCCCCTCCCTTCCCCCTCCCTTCCCCCTCCCACCCCCCTCCCTCCCCCCTCCCACCCCGCGCTGTAGAGGTGACGCTGCTGGACCCGGTGCGTTTCCCTGGAGCAATCAAGGCCTTTGCCAGGGAGGTGTGCAGGTAGGGGCCCCGCGCCGGGGCAGGGTGTGTACGTATGTATGTGTATGTGTGTATGCGTTACATGAGGTTCCTGGGACTAGTTCTGCGTTCCCTCTCCCCCGGCCCCTGGCCCCCGGGGAAAAACCCTTCATTCCTCTCAGTCTCATCTCGCCCCTCCGTACACCACGACTCTAAAGCCCGCACACACTCCCTCCCTTAGTCGAAACCCTCCCTCACCCCCCCAAAACACACACGCACACACCCGCCTTCCAGGAATGACATTCTCAACTTCGGTCGGCTCCACTTTTTCTTCCCGGACTCGCGATTAGCTCTGGACCTCAATACGGACCGGACTTTGAAAGAGGTGGAGAGGGGGAGGGGGGAGGGGAGAGGGGAGAGGAGTTTCAGATAGTAATACAACCAGACTGCTGCTGCTGCTGCTCCTTGCTGCGCCTCGGCCCTGTGTCCGTGCAGTTGTCTGTTCGCCTGTTTGTCCGTATGTATGTCCGTCGGTCTATACGCGGGGTCGATGTTGTGTCGGTAGCTGCTGCTTACTGAGATATGCGGACGATGATGAGGACGATGACCCCGCTGTTTCTGCTGTGTACATGCTTTGCTGCTTACTGCCGTACTCTTGCCGTACTCCTCAGGCCCGTTTCGACCGGCACTTTGTACGGGACCTGGTATGGAGTCGACACCAGTTGGAGGAGCTGGCGGAGCGGCGGTTCAGAGCGGCGCAGCAGGTGTTGGGGTGTTGGGGATACGACGGGGGTACGACGGGGAGCTGGGACGGTGGAGGAAAAGGAAAAAAGGGGGAGAAAAAAGCCGTGTGTGTGTATTTGTTTGTGCTTATGTGTCAGCGAGTGCGTGTGCGTGTATTTGTGATGATGGCCACGCAGTAAGTTCGAAATGTTGGGGTTGGTCACCAACGGCCCGGGCCGCCACGGTTGAACTCGGGAACAACACTAAGAAGAGTACGGAGATATACATACGTACATACAGCCAACCTTCTCCAGCCTTTTTCTTCTTGTTGTTGCGGGATGGGAAGTGATGTATAGGTGTCTGTATTCTATCCTATCCTATTATATTGTATTATTTTATTTTATTTTATATTTTTTATATTATGTTGTTTATGTTACGACAGACTAGATTAATTTATTACAAACCCATAAATACACACCCTCCCCCCCCTCCCCAACCCCACCTACCTTGACACCCTCCGTCCCTCCCCCGTAAGGCCCTTCGTGAGGAGGCGGCCGGGCTCCGAGGCTCCAACTCCTCCATCCTGTCAGCCGCCTCCTCGCAGTCGCAGTCGCGGGGTAACGGCGGCACTCAGGAGTCCGGCGGGGGCGGCAGTGGTGGGGGCGAGCGCGGCAGCTCGTCCTCCCCGTCCTCCGTGTTTGGGGACCCGTCCACGATGAGCTTTGCGGACCTGTTCAAGAAGGTAGCACGGAACAGCGCGGGGTGGGGTGTGGGGTGGGGTGTGTGGGGTGGGGTGTGGGTGGGGTGTGGGGTGTGGGGGGGAAGGCGGCGAAGCACGGACGATTGACAAAACACATAGGCGGGTACCCCGGTAAGATGAGACCAGTACTGGAGAGTGGGGTGTGTGGGGGGGAAGTGGGGGCACGTGCTATACACACACATACACACACATACACACACATACACACACATACACACACATACACACACATACACACACATACACACACATACACACACATACACACACATAAGCACTCTCAGGACCCCTACGGCAGTTTGTGGCTTTGGACAATTGTGTTGACAGTTAAGGTTTCTTGCGACATCATTAGATTCCCCCCCCCTCCAATACACCCATTTATTTACATACCTGTATGCATACATACATACATACATACATACATGCATACATACATACATACATACATACATACATACATACATACATACATACATACATACATACATACATACATACATACATACATACATACATACATACATACATACATACATACATACATACATACATACATACATACATACATACATACAGGTTCGCGGTGAGGACTTTTCCTCCTACCTTGCCAAGTTGTCCACCCCTCGGGAGCTCATGATCATGATGACGGAAATGTTTTCACGGATTGAGCAAAACCCTGAAGGGGGGCTCACTGCGCAGGTAGGTGCAGACGGACGGACGGACAGACAGATAGATAGATCCTCCAAGGCTTGGGGCTCGCAGCTCATTTTTTATTTAGATACATATTCAGATATTCAGACATGTCGACAGACAGCCTCATAGCGTGGAGTGTTAAGGGAAGAGGAGAGGGAAGGGAGAGCTTAGGGGGAGGGGGGAGCACTCGCTCTCGCATTCTGCTGACCACTAATTTGTTCCTTTGCTCTACTTATGGTTAACCCCATGTGTTCTTGTACACAGAAACGACGAACCCGACCGCCACTACCACCGCCCCACAAGAACACCACCACCGCCAATGCCCTCCCTTCCTCTCCCCCGTTCGTGGTTCGTCTTGGTTCGTCTCCCTCCCCCCGCATACCAACCAGGATATGGAGATCGCGGTCACCAAGGCCCTGGAGCAAAGCGTGTGAGGGGCGGTCTTAGGGGCGCGGAGCTGAACATCACTCCCCCCTCCCCTCCTGGGAGGAAGCTCTGGAAGCTTATGGTGGTGGTGGTGGTGGTGGTGGTGGTGGGACTTTGGGTTTAACAGACCCCGCGGGATGTCGAGGGAACCGAGGGGAAGGGAGGAGGAAAAGGAGAAGGAGGAGGAGGGGAATTGTGTCGTACAGTACGGCGGTACAAACACGCGCGTGTGAGCTATGCGGCGGCGCTGCGGTCCAGGCTTGACCGATCTTGGTCGGTAACACTGGGGTTATACCTCGGGGTAGACCCCGCGTCACCAGCCTGGACCTGCTGTTAGGGTTTCCCCTCCTCCCTTGCCCCTCCGCACCAGTTTCGGAGCGGCTGTGTGTGAGCGTGTGTGCGTGTGTGTGTGTGAATGTGTGTGTGTGTGTAATAGGAAAGGTTGGAGGCCCGCTAAGGTGCCCGTGAAGGTGTGGGTGTTTATGTGGGAGGGGGGAAGAGGGCTGCATGCCGCTAGGGGCGGTATATGACAACCACTCCAACACCGCCAGGCGAGTTGAGCTCCCTCACCCCCCCAGTCTGGCCGGGAGCGACTTTGGGTGTTTGGGCTGTGCGTGAGAGGGGCACCGCGGGGAGGTGGATAGGGGCAATGGAGGGAAGAATGGGGAAAGGGGGAGGGGAGAAAGCGTGCCCAGCAGCGTGTGTTTATGTTACGGGCACGTGTACGTCTTGCAGGGTGATGCGCATGGTGAAAACACTGCTTTGTAGGTTCAGCCGGTGGGTTGTGCACTAAGTGATTTAGCATTAGAGCTAGTGCTGGTGCTGGAGGGGTGGGGTGGGGTGGGGTGGGGGGGAAAGACGAACCACACACGATTGAAGCTGCTCAGGGCAAGAGAGTAGCAAACGTTGTGGGGGGGGCAGGTTCTTTTTGGTGAGAGCGGTCGCCGGGACACGGTGGAAGGTAATGACCAATACCTTGTTTGAGTTGTGCGTTGTGGCTCCTGGATGGGTGGAGCTGGAGGAGGAGGAGGAGGAGGAGGGGTATCGGTGGTGGCGGTTGTTAAGTCGTTTGCAGCTATATACTGTAGAAGCAGGATGGGGCGGTGGGGATGGCCATCCGGTCCGCTCTTAGTTCCCGATTTCGAACACGTCGAAACTCGCTTTGGTCCAGCTGTTAAGTATATAAATGGACACTAGGTATATATACGTTGTCTAATATGCTATATACAAAAAGAAGATCTACTGACGCCCTCTTTACAGCAGGAAAAAACGAAAACAGAACAACTCTGCGCCGAAACCTTTAACCACCGATGTAATACAACGGTATACTCAGATGGCAGAAACCACACCTGCCCGTAACCACCTCCCCTGCTGCCGAAATTCTTAACCTCCGTAACCCTCCGCAGAACTCGTACTCGGAAGACGGGGGCCGACGGTTGCCTTCCCCTTAGCCCAATGTATTATGCGCACACGCATGCTGAAGCGCTGCACGTACATACATGCAGATACACACACAGATCATCTCAACCCACTCCCGCCCCTTCTCTCCCCCACCCAGACCGTTACGACGGGTCAGGCTGCCGTGAGATGATCCCGGTAAAAAAAAATGTTGGGAGCGGAGGTTGCAAGTCAACGCCAAGCCAAGCTGCTCCGAAACACACTTTCGGCCACCCGCAGCTTCCCGGTGGTTATTCGATCATGTTGCATTAGGTCGACGGTTGACAGTTGACAGTTGGTCGTTACCTGCCGTCTTCTCCATAGCCAGCCTGAAGATCCGACTTCTCTTCACCCACACGTAAAACCCACGTCGCGCTATCATCACAGGAAAGACATCGTTCCGAGATTTTTTCTCCTCTCCTCCGCGTCCTCCTCCTTCTTATCCCCCAACCCACCCCGCCATCCGCCCAATCCGCCGAGTCCGCTAGCTCCTGCGTGTGCTCAATACCTGGACCGCTTCTTCGCGTCACGTTCACCGCGGTCCCGATCTCGATCCCGATCTCGATCCCGGCCGCCGCGTTCGCGATCCCGATCGCGGTCCTTGTCGTACTCCCGGTCCCGATCTCTGTCGTACTCCCGGTCCCTCTCACGGTCTCGATCCCGGTCTCTGTCGTACTCCCGATCATGTTGGTCGTACGCCCTCCCTCTGTCCTGTTCCCCTCCCCGCCCGCGATCACCCCGCTCTTCTCTGCCGCCGTACACCTCCTGGTGATGCAGCGGTGGCGGTGGCGGCGGCGGTGCCGCCGTACCCGCCGCCGCATCGTGGCCGTGTCCTGACGATCCTTTACCACCGCCGCCACGCGGCACCGTCGGCCCAGCGTACGGCTGCTGCTGCTGAACAGACTGAGGA